GTACTATGGACATTTTTTTCTCACTAAAGGAAGCTATTTTTCATTTAAAAACAAACTACGAGTACTAAATTTCAAGTAAATACGTTTATTGGTTTTAAAGTTATTGTTATTATTAACTAAAAGAATTTAATTTTTTTACATTTTAACACCCTGTATCTCGAAAAGTAAATAAGTTTGACCCCTCATTAACTATATCGTTTTGTTCAATTTTTCGAGAAGTATCTACAGTCAAACGTTGTAAGTGTCATTTGGAAACACCCTGTATGTATGAAATATTAGATATTTAATAGAAAATATTAGATACTTACAATTTTGCCACAGACTGAACAGTAGATTTTTCCCATATCCATAGACAGCTCTTTATAAGGTTTAATCCAAGTTGAAGCACTGATTGTTTTAGGCATTATAAAATCACAATCTTCCTTTTTGTTACGTACAACGAGTGTTTACGCTTTGATTATCAAAACAAAAATGATTTACAAATCTAAGCATCAAATTAGAAATGTTTAGGTACCTAATTCAATAAACTGGGAGATTTTGGAAAATCCCTAAATTAGGAACAAAACTATTAGCCGTTTACCTGCTGTTAAGATACAATAAATTGTAGATAAATTTGGGGATTAGATCATAAAATGCAAATGAGCGAACCCTTAGCGATTATCCAATAACTGAATGCCTCAGTGACCGAGACTTTCTAAGAATGTTGAGGGCTACTTAAATTGATCTTCTTTGAAATTGTAAATGTTTTGTACTTGTAGAGATTACGTACTTAGATCATTTCTTGATTAAAATGACTACAAAATTTTATACAAGATTTGAAATAAATTGGTATGTTTAAAATTTTTCAAATACAGTATAAAAATCTGAACTTTTATGCACTTTATGCAAACTTTTATACAAATATGCCAAAATATGAAATATTTGCATAAAATATGCACAATATGCAAAATATGCAATATGCATATTTGCCGAAGTCTAATGATTAGGGATATTATCATGTAAACCCTACTCCAAATAACATCTTAGAAAAATACGAAAACATCTTGGTAACTATGTGCACATCACTTCGGATTCCATAAATATGATATTTCTGAACAAAGAACAAATAAGAAGAGAATCAGTAGTATCCCTACTAGACATTTTAGAACATGGAACCAAACAACAATAAAAATTACCAAACCCCCACATTTCACTTATCTTCATTATTGAAAAAAGAACCACGTGACATATTTGAGGTTATAAAATCCATATAAAAATGTAATAATTTGTAAACTTGCTGTTTATTATGTGCATGGAATGGTTCTGGCAATACTTCAGAGACTTTTAAAAGATTTAATATTTGTTTTCCACGTGACATTCTTATAAACTTTCAGATTATTTCGAAATCACTAAAGCGTGCTCTAAAAACTGTGGATCTTTGTTCTAAAATTACTATTTCGCAAAACTGTACAAGAACATAGAACTATCGTCAATAGATGGCGCTAGGAGTATTATTTAATAATTATATTCTGGAGCTGGGTGCAGGGTTATTGTGTAAATCTATTTAACGACAGAAACTAATTTTGTAAAATATGGCGGTTGGTTCCCTGTTCTATATCTATTGTGTGATCGAAAATACATGAATAATTGTTTCAACTTCTGTCCAAAGCAGACACATTGCAATATGAAATTTTGCAATTAAGTGAAATTCATCAAATACATATGGAAATATATAATAAAAGGTAACGATATGCATGTTTTGGCGTTCAAAATCCCGATTCCAACGATGAAATCACGCACTATCAATTTGTTCGATATGTACAATAAGACTATTTTTACCTCATACATTATAGCGATTTCAATATTCCATTGTTGTAAATTTGGCGATTTATCTGTAGATATTAAATGAGTTTATTAAACTTGATCGTTGCCAAAACGATCCATGTTTACAAAAGTTACTTTACTTTGAGATCCTACTTTTAATTGGTTATTAGATTTAAAATGCTTTTTTTTTCAAATACATTTTAACATACGAAAAAAGTGGTTTCTTATCATTCAGATGCGTTTTATTAATGTTCTTGGTTGTATTGACCCAGCTCATCTGATTAGTGTCGAATGATACTTGCGGTTGTTGCTGGTGAATATTCATGGAAATATTTAAATTACGTCGAATTGTTAAATATGTAGTATGCCCATAATTAAGTGCTGCACTTGAACAGCTCAATTTGTTTAAAAACAATAATGATTGGGATATAAAACTCTCTGAGGCATTTGTTTCTGCCTTTCCAAGTCAGATACGCATATTGTTTGTGATCATTATGTCGGCATCTCTCCCATTAAATCTATGTAAACTGTTTAATAAGTACACGAACAATATGTTAGATCACATTTTACGACATCAAATTCGTGTCAATTCAAAGAATCTTAATCTGGAGGTGAATGAGGAGATACACGATCAGGCTTGGCTTTTAATTGAAGATATTTGTTACGTCATATGCAGCCGAACATCAACCGAAATAAGAGCCAGGATAGAAATAGCAAGAAATGCGTTTGTAAAAATGAAAACAATTCTCTGCAACAAAGACCTTAGAACTGAGATTAAGAGCACTGAGATGCTACGTGATTGCAAATATAGACTTGAAAAGCTGGGCATTAAAGCAAGAACACATAAATAAGTTAACACATAAATAAATAAGTTGGAACTGTGGTGTTACAGGAGGATGCTTACAATAGTATAGCCACACAAGAAAACTAACCGTGAAGTATTGCGAAAAATGAGCAAAGAATGCGAAATAATAAAGAAAATTAAAATTAGAAAATTACAATATCTGAGACACGTAATGAGGGGACAGTGATATGAACTGCTAAGGCTGATAATACAGGGAAAGATAAGAGGACGAAGGAGTATAGGAAGAAGGAGAGTATCATGGTTGAAAATTTGAGGGACTGGTTTAATTGCAGTTCTATAGGACTCTTCAGAGCAGCAGTAGATAGAGTAGAGAATAAATTAAAGCTCAAAAGGGAATATAATCGATATGCATTAAATCATTTAGTTTGAGCAAATGTACCAATATTCTATTAATAAAAGTAGGAAGTACAGATAATATTAGGATAAGCTAATTATACTAACGGTGTAACGTAAACAAACTATTTACTTATGTACATAATTAATCTAGGTCTTTTTGCTCGTGTCGGGAACAATTTGAATGTGGTTCTTTAAAAAATCATATACAAGCTGTTTGTATTATCTTTAAAATTAAAATAAATTGGACATTATCCTTTAATAGTTTGCCTTTGTAAGAAAACGAGCTCATACAAAGAAATAAAATAAAAAATTTAAAACAAAGCTAACCTTTATTATTTTGTAAAAAACAAAAAGTTGTTAAAATATGCTAATATGCTCTGTTTATATATTAAATTAAAAATGGGAAGTGCTTATAATAAACTAAACTTAAAATTATGTAGTGAGAAAACAAATATGAATGAGAAATACTTATATAAAAATAAAATCATACTTTATACCAAATTTCGAAATTCGTTTACATAAAAAAATCCTAATATAAAGAAGATATTTATATACTATATAGATAGTAATATAATTAAAAGACCAATAATACATCACACCATTGTTATTTAGTTAATAAATAAATTGAATAATTATCTAAATGCTTGCATACCCTTAGAAAGGATACATTTTTTACCAACTGTGTGCTCAGGATCCGATTTCGGAACTTTGAATCTATTTGCAGCAGAAGGATATTCCACAAAAGGCACTTATACCAAATGGTAATTGGTGGCCAACAATACATTCTAGTTTCAGAACACATACCATAAATCCATAGCTATTTAGATAGCCTCGGCCCAATAAACATAGTTCTGGCCCAATAAACATAGTTCTGGCAACTATTACTGCTCCCTGTGTGGGTCTAAAATAAATATTTATTTATAATATAAAAGAAAAAAGAAATTTTTCGGCTTATCTGGTCAAGAGACCACACAGAAAGAGTGATGAATTTCCGGGAGGCTACACACGCTCAGATTTTGAGGCCATTGTCGGAACTATTATGAAATGCAGTTGGATCTTTAGGGGAATTTAGGTACTTTCGCACTCGGTGGATAGATAACGGCGAGCAGCATTAATTTGAATATTTACTAGAAATCATAATAATAAATTTTGAAACTATCAACATAAAATCGCTAGTTCATTATATTCCTTTTAATTTATTGACTGTGTTACAAATAAAGACGTGTGCTTGGCGTACCACTGCACAATTTACAGCTAAAGGTTGGCTAGGTCGTAATTCCAGTTAAAAATCTGAACGAAGTTTAAGGAATACTTAAGCAAAAAAAGAAATTTTTATTCAGATAATTTCGATGAAACCAACCATTAAGGCCTTCGACGTAAAACGAATTGAATATCCGATTCGCTTTGCATTTACCATGACGATAAACAAATAACAAGGTGAATATTTGAATATTTGTAAACTAAATATAGAAAAGAATTGTTTTTGACATATTGACATGTAGGCAAACGATTCACATTGTTTATTCTTGTGCCTGGCAACACAACGAAAAAGATAGTATGTTATATAATGTGTTATGTATTATACATTATATTTAATATAGAATATATACAAGGTTTTTCAATAACAATAAATGATAAGAGTCTCACCCTCTTAGCTAATGGATACTTTGTTTCCGCGTGAATTAGCTCGCCTAACCTAATTAATTTGATTAGTTTGTGGATATTGTAATCTGAATTAAAATTATAATACCCTTAAATGATTTTTTTGTTATTCTTTTTAATTTTGCATTACTGGTAAGATTTTATAACTTTTTGGTATTTCAAACAATTTAGGTATTGTAAGCGAACAAGTTTTCAAAAGCAAATTATGTTCATATATGCCCAACGGGTCAGTTGCTAGACAGCAATAAAAACTGCTTAAAAAAATAATCGCACGAAATATAATACTCACTTTAAAATAATGAATACTTACACTAAATTGAGGCTTTGTTTACAGCGAAAAGAAAATTGCTGGATGATATTACAGGCAATTTTCCGGGAGGGCAATTAACGGCTATAATGGGGCCTTCTGGTGCTGGAAAAACAGTTCTAATGAATATCTTAACAGGATATGCGTAAGTATTATTTATCAGTTCTAATAGTTTTTATATTCTATTGCAATAGTGTCTGACAATTCTGATATATAATTAATTTATGTACATGTATTTAAGCTTTCAATATTTTAACTTTCAGTTTATCCTCATACTTTTTAATAATTTTATGTAATTTACATTTACAAGTATGTAAACTCATATATTTGTTTAAATAATAAAACTTAGCATTGAACCAAATCGTAGTTTATCCTTAACGGTAATCAATTTATTTATAACGCTACCATATATTGTTCTGAAGCTATTTTCTTGTGGCATTTTAAAGTCATTACTATTTAAATGAGAATAAGCTATAGTTAAAGTTCAAAGTAAGTTTATTAACGTTTCAATTTCCACTTCGGAAATCGTTCTTAAAATACAAACATTAGTAAATTAAAAAAAAATTGTTTTTTGTTACTTGGTGAAAAATTCTTCTCACAATTTAATTTTATCTGCCTCATTTGTATTGACAATTCAGACATACAATATTCATTTTAAAGTAGACGACTTTAAAATGATATTGCCAATATTGTTGAGTTGCGTTCCTGGGACGACTTTACTTATAAGATAGTTTATTCGATTACATGAAATCAACTTCAACTTGAGAATATCCATCAGAAAAAATGATAGCATGTAATTCGTATTTTAAAAGACAAATACATGCTATGATGACAGTAAGATTCTATTGTAAGTGATTCCATAGTAAATTATGAGGGAAAACTAGGAAAAGAGAACCTCATAATACTATCCCGACATGGTAAGTATTTGGTCGTGCATTTAGTTTACCTTCAATAAAGACCAAATTCTGATTTTACCTGGGGTCCCGATATTGACATTCTTAGCAAAATTTAACTTGTTCGTATGATTTTTGGAGGTTCAGTGGTATTTTCACCTCCGACGATATTACTACATTTTTTTTACTCATACATTAATCAGATTATCATATCATATATTACATATTACGTATATCCTGGACTGAGCAAGTGACCAACGAAGAGGTACTACGCCGGATAGATAAAGAGAGAGAGAAGTAGGAATAATAATAATAATAAGATGTAGAATATAAAGGAAAGAAAGTTGGAATACTTGGATCACGTTATGAGACATAATAAATATAGAGTACTACAGCTAATCATTCAAGGGAAACTAGACAGCAAAAGGGAGGAGAAGACACTCGTGGCTCCAAAACTTGCGGCAATGGTTCGGATTGTCATCTGCTGAACTATTCAAATCTGCCGTAAACAAAGTCAGAATAGCCATGTTGATGGCCAACATTCGGAACGGACAAGGCACATGAAGAAGAAGAAGAATTAATCAGATTATGTTAGACTGTCTTTTAAATGTTTCAACTTTTTTCCCTATAATATAAAGTTTTACCATTATTATTCTCACTGTTCCTCGTAGTAGTATTCTTATTTTCGTATCTTGTTTCTATTATTTTTTCATAAGTCTATATGATCTTTGTTATTTGAACTTGTGCCTTTTGCTACATTGTTTTGAATTACTATTTAATACTATAACATTAGTAGTGGAACATACGACTTTTATTTTATGTTATAATTAAGGAAAAGACAACATGTAAAGCAAATAAATATATTATTCTAGGACCACGGGCATACTGGGTGAAGTTCTAGTTAATGATGAACAAAGAAACAATGTTTCTTTTAGGAAACAGTCGTGTTATATAATGCAAAATGATGATCTCCAACCTTTACTAACGGTGTTAGAATCCATGAGAGTGGCTGCTGATTTAATGCTTTCTACCTCTAAGACTGACAAAGATAATAAGGTAAATTATTGTAATTATCATTTTATATCTATTTAAGATCTTGGCAGCTAATGTAATTCATTTCATTAGCTTTTGTTACATAGTGAACATTTATTTATTGTATAAATTTTTTTTATGGCATCTAAGGACCTCATCGCCTTACATATTTACATGTAACTGACTCTTTAATCAACGGTTCAAGCAAAAAACGTTTACCGTAAGATCGTATAACGAATACAGAAATTAGAGATCAGATAAAAATTTAGTTCAAAAAGATCAGATAAAAAGTTTAATTTAAATTTAATTTAATTTAATAATTTAATCTATTATATCTCCTTGCAGGTGTAATTAAATAATGACTTCATTGTCCCTTGAGAAATTAGTTTTCCTGGCAGATGCATTCAATGAAAAGCTTGGCCAAAGCCTGGATTATTTTATTTTCACCTAGTTTGATCGCTTTAATTTTTACTTTGACATCTCCAGAAGATTTGTTTTTTAAAAGTGTTATTTTGTGTCTTGCTTATCTTGTATATTTCTAGTTAGTATATCTTCATACAGGTTGTTGTTTTTTAAAATAATGTATTTCTTTTTTCTTGTGTTAGGATCATGTCTGTTCCTTCCAGTTTGACATTTAATAGTATCTTATCTCTGAATAATCTGTGGTAGCTTCATATTAAAAATTTGTTGGGTACTTCGATGTTTTTGATTATTTCTTTTCTGTTTATTATGATATCTATTTCATTTTTGAAATCAGCATCTGGGCTGATCAATGTCCAGTTACGCTGAAGCTTTTTATCAAATAAAGAGTTCATTTTGGACAAATTTTCCTGCTGTAAAAAGTTCATTAATCTTGTTTCTCGATCATTTCTTCTGCCAAATCCATACTTATCCATTGCTACTTCGGCATCATCTTGTTTAAACATAATTTTCGCATAAAAGTATCCCATAATTATTATTTAATATGTTGGTGTGGCATGTAACGCTGTTTTTAGAAATTTTCGCAGAAAATTCTTCAATTTCTTTATCCGAGTGGCTAGTCTTTGGACCATATGACTGGATTACCCCAAGGTTATATCCTGCATTTAGATTGAATATGAGATATACAATCTTTTTTTTTTAATAATCGGAAATAATTGATCCTTTATGTTTCATGATATTTGTGGACATGTCACAATTGTTTTCATTAATAAAAAAAGTTTTCTAAATGCTGGATAGGATTAACATATTTGTAACTATGGTAACAGAGAACCGAGTTCCAGCCAGAGAACTGTTCTGGTAAGAAATCCAACTTGAGCTTTTGAGTATCGGTCAAAGGCCATTAGCTACGGGAATTTGAACTGTAGAACTTATCTGGGACTCAAACCCTGAACCTATTAGTATTGGTCAATGGTAAACTATTCCTAAAATTCAAGATGATCACTAAAGCCTTACCTACTTTAGATATTTCTGGCAACTTTATCAAATTTTCTCTAGGTTTTCGTTTGAAATAGATGCGTTTTTTTTACCGCCTTGCTTATTATTTCTAAAATAACACCATTGAGTTAGAATATATGGAGAAGCTATGAGCATATTAACTTATGTATAAAAACGGCGTAGGTAGGCGTGGCTAACGATAATACCAATATGGCGGTGGGATCAGGGCCAGACTCAATAATATTAAAACTACGATACAAATATCACTAGTTATTCAGAAGTTTTAATCATAATCTAAAAAGTGCAATTAATTTTTATAAACTATGATTTATTCCGCGGTATATATATATATATATATATATATATATATAAAATTATTTATTTCGCGGTAAACACTAAAAACACGTTATATTATACATAAAGATAAATTAATACAGTCAAATACTATTAATTTATTCTCTGAAGTACGGGCCATTACTTTGTTTACATATTTGTATACTAATCTGTGGAATGATATTCCTGAAAATTTTTTATTAACATTGCTTCTGCTACTGCAACTACGTTGAGAACAAGAAACCATTATTATGCACTATCACAATACATTATTACAGTTTCTATAAAAGTGTTATAAAACTAAAAATATTTGAAAAACAACAAATGTAGACAAACATATATGATCTGTCAAAAGTGTCAAAACAATATTAACAATATGGTCGAACTGAGGTCGTTTTTAGTCACGTGATGCCCTCTCCATAGATTCTCGATGAATAACACAAACACCACTGTAAATAAAACTTCTATTACGTCAAGCAGAAAAAATTAATATTTAGTAGGCAGCACTAGCTATCAAGTTGAGAAAGGGATGGTGAAAATTATGACTGTCAACGAGCAGTGGATGAGTTCAAATTATAAACTACATACATAAGAATGGTCAAAAGGTATATGATATATGTATAAAAAAAATGAGGATTTTCATTTTTAATGACCGGGAATTCAAAATCGGTTGGTATATACAAATGGTAATTTTATAGAAATGGTCGTTTATAGCGGTATTACTGTATTTGTGTTGGATCATTAGATATACCACTTTATCGGTACAAAGGCCTATGTCCAAGCCAGGGCATCCATGAGCCTACAAAATCAGAGCAATAGAAAGAACATTATTGTTTTTTTATCATGGTATCCCAACATTTTTATTTTTTTACTTCCTTTTAATCCTGAAGCATATTATTGACAAAAAATAGGCAGTTACTCGTAATTAATATGAGTAAAACCCTTAGGGACGTCGTATTCAAGTAATATTTATCTGTCTTGTCTAGTCAACACCACACTAGAAATCAAATATATCCAAACAGAAGAAAAACACTAGATACTGTGTTTTAATGGCATTAACCAACAATTTATTGTTATGATAATTACATATAAGCTGAAAATATGACGTTTCAATTTCTACTCTGGAAATCGTTTTCAAAAAATATAATTTAAAAAATGACCTTTAGCATATTATAATAATTAGAATATTTTACTGAGATATTCACCAATAGAATATTATTAAAGAAATGGTGGTGTAATTATGGATGCCGTTTGGGCATGCAAAGTTTAGGGACTCCATAACTGACGGATTTAACCCTTTAACGTGCAAATTATTTTTTCCTATTTTTCTTTTCGAAATTTAAAATAAAATCTTGTTTAAATGGAATGTTATTTTATAAAAAATGACAAATTGTAATAAAATTTTTATCACAAAGTATTTTTTGATGTGGCTTCTATATGTGCCACTAACCGTCCTAAAAACCCAATAACATCTAGAGTTTGGTGGCTAGCCATATAGCCACTTATTATTTATATAGATAAATCACAAAAATGTTTCAAAACATATTAATTTAAAGATGAGATAAATTAAAACGAAAAATTCACAAACATAAGATTTGTACAAATTCTAAATAGCGACTGTTCGAAATAAAATTTACCCAGTTTTATAAAATTCTACGAAATATTCTAAACACAGACCGACATTACACTCACTACATGCTATTTTTGATCTCTTCACATTTGATTTGGTGAAGCAACGTGCACATCGCCTATACTTCCCCTTCACTGGTAAATGCACCCCAACATTTGTTTTTCTAGTAACATTACTGGTAGACATAGAACGTCCACCAATTTTACGCATTTTGTTTTTGCTTGTTGTAGTTGGCGCACCTCTTTATTTTCTGCCGGAAAAATTACCAATTTGTTCATTGGCTAGTATCGATTAAAATTGTCAATGAGACATGGCTTTTTTTCTTTCAGCGGCCATTGGTGCGTTGTACATTATATATCCGTTCACAATCGTAGAACCTAAAAGGTAGAAGAAAATTTTCATCCACCATTGACGACTTTTCCATGAGATGGAGTAGGAAGAAATGTATTAATCAAAAAGATCAACGCCTCCCATGAATTTGTTGTATTCAGCTACTGATTGTAGACAGGGTACTTTCTCTTTTTTTCCTTCTTTGTTTGTTCGAACAACATCAACTTTCAATAAAGGATCATGAGGAGAACTAATTACGACCACACACTTTTTGCCTCTGTCATGACATTTGCAAACTGATATTCCACTGTACTTCTCCTACAAAATTAGATTTACCCAGTTTCAATTGGTTATTATTTAGCAAAAGGTTCTTGGAATAATGCTTTCTATTTATTCTGAAAGTACCGCAGGCAAATACATTCTTGTGTAGTAAATTGGACAGCAAGTCAATTGTGGAAATAAAAAGTATCAAAGTATAAAGCATAACCTTTGAAATGGTATGGCTCGCTCAAATGCAGAACAGTTCTTTCACCCAATGTACCCTCAATGTGACTGGTTTCCTTTCCTTCGTATACTTTAAATAAAAGCATAAAACTTGTTCGTGCACAGGCCTTAACCCAAATTTTGAAGCCTCGTTTAACAGGCTTCATGGGCATGTATTGCTTAAATGTTTAGCGCCCCCTAAAGCCTACCATGCTTTAAACTAAATAAAAGTTTAAATTCTGTATTTGGATGGTCGATAAGTGGTCTCAATTTATAAAGTTTATCGAAGTTATTTTCACCTTTTTTGGGCATTTTTCATTGTCGTTTAAATGGATGTGACGTAGAATCGCTAAAAAACGCTCATAAAGTTTGCTATTCTATCCACTCGAAAATTTTGGTGATAAGACCAATATATTCTTATCCCAGGAAGTTGATGGAATCCCATGATTATTAGGATTCCAAAAAAGCTCGGAGTTCGTCTATCTCAATTAAAAAATTATGTCTATTTTGTCTTGCATACAGATTGGTGTTTCGTCAAAAATCTTGTTAAGTAACTTATCTGAAAATATTTTTTTAAATATTTCGACAGGTGTTGCTTCTTCTATATTAGGAAAATTTGATCCAAAATTTTCTACAAAATTAAAATTTTTGAATTTGTCCCGAAATTATGGGTTATTCTTTTTTCATTTCATCATTTCATTGAAAAATCACCTGCCTAAATTAGTGGTGCTTTCTTCAATCTCGGGTTGATCTTCTAAAAATATGGCTTGGCTTTGCATCTGTCAGATCTCGAGTTCTGGCAAACCGAAATCTTCGAGACTAATATAGTCCGAACTAGATGAAGGTGAAGCAAAACGTCTTTTTAAAGTTTTTTTTTCGGAGACATATTTCTTGTCACCAACTGAGTCATCCGAGTCATAGTCCATATCTGATCCCGATTTCTCAAAACTTAATAAACTTTTATTTCTTACCCTGTGCCAGGAAGAATGGGATGGGCCAGGTATCCAAGAAGTAGATGGATCAGCTATTGAAACATTAGATGAACGGGGTGTACTAGAACCGCTATGTGTAGAGACTAACACATTGTCTTCGGCGTCGCTATCCCCCCCAATTTCAGATAGTCAGATATTCAGCCATATCATCTGTAATGCCATCGATAAACTCATACAGTTGATCAGCAGATAAACGTTCTAGTTCCTCGATAGTGATGTTGTCTCTATTTGAAGTCATTTTCTGCAACAGAAATAAAATAAAATCACGACAAGTTCTCATAACACAAAACATATCCAAAAATAGGACAAATAGTCTAAGTAACTAACTGGACTTCCTTAGCGCATATCTTGTTTCACTAAAATGTTTTACATTATTATGCAATGAAAATTATATTTACAATTAGCTGTAATATTAATAATTTGAGCACAAAACAATAAAACGTACAACAGCTACACGTGCTTTCGAAATTAGACAGCAGCTCGCAACGGTTAGTGGCACACATAGAAGCCAGTTGTACCTTATTTTGAAGGAAGCAGGGCAAGTGGCTTCTATAGAAGGCGTGAGCGTTGCGCGCGACGTAAACAGGTATAACAGATCATAATCACTTGAATTTACGTGGCGCAATGGACTGTACTGTAAGTAGCTTCTATTGTTGCCACTAAAATTTTGAAATCATTATTACCCTTTAATTATTAACCCTTTAATAGTAATGATTTCAAAATTTTCATTACTTTTTATTCCGCTGTCGATTTAAATTTTAGATTCTTTGGTGATATATTTAATGCTACGAAATTTTTGTAAACTGATGAATATATTTTCTGTAATAATTTGGTAAGCTTTTTGTTTCTTTCGCGTTCTTTCGTGTTTGGTGCCGTTCAATCGGTATAATTTATTCTGGACCTTGTAGCATGCCTTAAAAATCTCCTCAAATACGGCCATGGCCCAAATTAAAATGTAAGTGATCACGTGTCAACTCAAATTAAGCAAATAACTTAAATAATAATAAATTATATATCAAACTACGCCATAATGACAATCTCGTTAAAGTTCTTAAGTTACGCGCTCGTCTCAGATTCGTCACCAGCTACCCATCTATTCATCTATATAGAGTATATTTAAGTATACCCGTCCACTCATTAGGAGAAATCAGCTTGGTTTATTTCAATGAGCCTTTTAGCATCGTTGGTTTTTGTAGAGCCGAGAGGGTAAAACCCTACGTGGACCTGTTTTCTGTGGAATCAACTGTTGGAACAGATAAGCTTTTGGTAATTTTAAATTCATATAAATACCTGTAAATCGTTTTAGATCTCTAAATGGTTAATACTTGTTTTTATTTACAATTAGTGTAAATTGCTTATATGCATGTAACCAAGTAAACTTACTAGTTTTTTATAAATAGGGAAGGGGTAATTAAAGTTTATATAGATTGTTAAATAAGGGAGGGGAAAATTAAATGTGTTTTTTTTTAAATAGGTTTTTATAAAAGTCTCTGACCCGACTCATTTTATATTTTATATAAATATCTGAATTATATTAATTGGTATTTAGTTGCTATTTGTACACATATTAGTCCTACCGGTGAGTACCTCCCCTCCTCTGTGAATTCTCCCTTAAAATTTGATGTTTCTCTGGTCCTTTAAATTGATTCCTGTGAGCTAAGCCGTTCTTTATTAGCACATTCAATAACGTTACTCCAAATTTCCCTTCTTGTATATTCTTATTCGTAAATTACAATACCCCAGGGTAGTGGGGTTTCAACCCGGTTCGTCAGTTGTCGCAGTATATCATATTTTATTTATTTGAAATATTTAAAAATATTTTAAAATTTTATTCATACATTACCTTAACACTTAAAATTACCATTTTAGATAAAATCAATTTTGGAATCTGTCCGCCTCTGGAATATGAAACATACTAGAACAGACGCACTATCTGGAGGACAGAAGAAACGTCTTTCTGTAGCATTAGAGCTGCTTAGAGATCCACAAGTTATGTTTTTTGATGAACCTACTAGGTACTTACTTTTATCGTTTTTCTTTACTGTGATTTACAGCCTTTTCGTTTAACTTATGAATTTATTTATTTTAGTGGATTGGATAGTTTGAATTCAATTCGTCTGGTTAAGTTGCTAAAAGAAATGTCTAAAAGTGGAAAAACTATTATTTGTACAATTCACCAACCTAGTGCTACAATATTTAACATGTTCGATCACCTGTATGTTGTATCAAGTGGTAAATGTATTTACCAAGGATCACCGGATAATCTCTTACCATATTTTGAAGATTTCAACTTGATTTGCCCTACTCAACACAATCCGGCAGACTTCTGTAAGTATGTCTCTTATTTAGCTGACATTTTCTTCTTTACATATATATATATATATATATATATATATATATATATATATATATATATATATGAAGTGAAAAGGAGATAATACTGGGAAATACCCTTTTATAAAAGGAAGCAAAATAAAACTGGATTGCTTCGTTAGATGTGCTTTTAATTAAAGGTCTAAGCTTTCGTCAATGATTATTGACATCATCAGAGTAAACTACAAACAAACCAGAACAAACAATGAACAAGTGGAAACTAGGCATACAAATTTTTAAAACAATTACCCTAATTCTAGCAAGTAACTCAGTGACTTGGGTTGAACACAAAGAAAGTACCCAAGTGTTTAACCCAAGTCACTGAGTTACTTGCTAGAATTAGGGTAAGTGTTTTATAAATTTGTATACTTAGTTTCCACTTGTTCATTGTTTGTTCTCTCGTTTGTTTGTAGTTTACTCTGATGATGTCAATAATCATTGACGAAAGCTTAGACCTTTAATCCAAAGCATATCTAACAAAGCACCCTAGTTTTATTTTGCTTCCTCAGTTATATATGCTATGTTTTCTCTGTGTTGTTGTACGGGGCGGAGGCATGGACGCTTACAGACGCCACTATTAAAAAACTTGAAGCATTTGAGATGTGGCTTTATAGAAGAATGCTGAGAATATCATGGACAGCAAGGATCACGAACAAGGAAGTTCTAGGAAAAATGAAGAAGGAACCAGAGATTGTGTTTACGATCAAACGCATAAAATTGCAATATCTGGGACACGTTATGAGAAATCAGCACCGTTACTCCCTGCTACAGTCTATATTGCAAGGTAAAGTCAAAGGTAAGCGAGGACCCGGTAGAAGGAGAATATCATGGCTGCGGAATTTAAGAACATGGTTTAAGAAAACCTCAACGAAGCTGTTTCGAGCCGCAGCGAGCAAGGTTATGATTGCCAATATGATTTCCAACATCCGAAACGGATAGGAACCAAAAGAAGAAGTATTATTGAAATGTTTCGTTTTAAACTCATGGTCTAATCTTCGTTTATATTGTTTTGACACACTTTCTTGCTAAATTTAACAGCAATTTCATTTAATAGCCTTCGTTTTTTCTCCAGAGGTGTCTGTATTTTCCAAAGATAATTGTTCTTAAAAATTTGTTCTCACTACCGCATTTTGTTCCTCTGCATGCTCGCTCTTTCTCTAATTTTAATTTCGTTTTATGGTTTGTAGTTACATACTCGATGATATTTCTGAGCAGTTGTGGGTTGCATTGAGTATCTATATCACTCACTGCACTTCAGATGTCAAACCCGGATAAAGGAGATGAGTTGTAGCGGTGGGTCAGCTTCCTACCCTATGAAATAATACATTTGTTTTTAAAAATAGAAAAAAAACCAAAGTTGCTAAAACAGAAAGTAATTTTAGGCACTTGGAACATACAAAGAATATTGACTAAAAAAATGAGGTCTTCTTCGAAACGATGGAACAGTTGACCTGTTCTATAGATAAAAGACAAAAGGCACGACAGAAACTAGATAGGTAACGTCACTCATAGGCGCTTTAGAGGAAATTTATAGCAACAAGGGATCCAATCAATATACCAATTGTTTAAGCTTTATCTGTTGACTAATCCAATTCCATTTTTTTTAACGTTTTCATCCCATCTTAGTATTAGTCATTGTTTTTCTTTTTACCTTTACGAAAGGTAAATGTTTTTATTATATTTACATTATATTTACATTATATTACTTTATATCTTAATCTATACAAATGTTTCAATATTCACTTAATTTCCCACACGCAGATATTGGCTGTGATTAAAAAACAAGTGTTGTATGAATTTCACTAATATAAGTTTCAGGTTTAATTTATTTATTATTTAATGAAATCATTTTTAGTATTGGAAGTAGCTTCAGGAGATTATGGGGATTTTACAAATGCTCTCTCAACTAAGTCGAATAATGGAATCAATGAAAGTTACGTAAAATTAAGTGCTAGTACAATGAAACTAAATTCAGTAAAAGGTAAATCGTTAATAAAATTATTAGTAAAATTATTTATACAGTCCTGCATCTGTATGACTTACTTGTAATAACATCAATAAAATATACCTACATATCTACAACTGTTTACAGTTGTTATTATTTTAGGAAATATTTAAAAATTATTAGTGTTATTAGAAATAGTACCATTTATACAAATATAACTATTTAGACGTTATCACTATATGCACATTAAAAGTAAACTTCTTAAAGTTTGATATTTGCCAAAATAAACAGTGCGTAAACTGAAACATAGATGTCTCTTTGTGCTGTCATATTCAAATTAACTAGTAAGTATAAACCTGCCAAGTAATCCTTAAAAAATTATTTATTTAGGCCGACTTGTTAAAAATGGTGTTAAGTACAGAGAAGAAAGTGTTTCTTGTGACGCAATATTTTCGCTCATACGTAATCGGCCGACGTAATAGTGCAGCCTAATGAAACAACAAAGGAGAACGTCAAAAGAAAAATAAAAAACGTGGGATCAGAAGTACTACCAAATATAAAGGGATACGAAATAGAAAGAGCTTTAAAAGAACTAAAAAATAATAAAGCTGCAGGACACAACGGTATAATTGCCGAGCTCTTGAAAAAAAGCAAAACATTAACAATCCCTGTACTAATTGTATCCCAAGCTATTTAATAGATGTCTCTATAACAGTCAGATCCCTAAAGACTGGAACGAGAGTCTAGTAATACTCTTACACAAAAAAAGGGACAAATGTGGTCTACATAATTATAGACCTATATCGTTGCTGAGTCAAGTATACAAACTATTTATGAGAATTATTAATAACCGGTTAACCTACAAAATGGATAATTACCAACCGGTTGAACAGGCTGGCTTCCGCAAAGGATATAGTACATCAGACCATCTGCTGACAATAAGAACATTGATAGAGAAGGCAAATGAATACCAACTACCCGTATTTCTTGCCTTTATCGACTATGAAAAGGCGTTTGATAGTATCGAGATGTGGGCCATAGAACAAGCTATTAATAATTGTAGAATAAATTCGAGATATAGGCAACTAATACATGATATATATGAAAAGGCAACTATGATAGTATAACTAGACGAAAATACAAATCCCATCCCCATCAAAAGAATAGTGAGACAAGGAGACGTAATATCGCCAAAGGTTTTCAACCTAGCCCTTCAAAACTACAAATTGGTCAACCTATGGCATTAAAGTTAATGGCAACAAGTTAATCTAACTTAAACCACCTCAGATTCACTGATGACATAGTGATTATAGCGAGCACATTCGAGGAACTGCAAATTATGTTAGGAGAACTAGCAGCCAGCTCCCAAGACGTCGGCCTAAAAATGAATATGAAAAAAAAACAAAAATAATAACAAACACAGATGACCCCAGACATATAACTATAAACGGTAGTGAGATAGAACAAATCCAGGAATATATCTACACAGGCCAAATCCTGAGACTTGACAAAGAGAACCAAAGTGCGGAAATTACTAGAAGAGCAAGACTAGTATGGGCAGGATTTGGAAAACTTAGTTGTATACTTAGGAACCGCAAAATATCCCAATACTTGAGGAGTAAAGTATTCAACCAATGCATCCTTCCTATCATGACATATGGAAGCCAAACCTGGACCCTAACCAAGGCAAACATGAATAAACTAGCCACAACGGAAAGAACAATGGAAAGAGCAATGTTAGGTATACGACTGTCAGATAAAAAGAGGAACGACTGGGTAAGATCCAAAACAAAAGTCGAGGACATAACAACAAAAATTGCCAAACTTAAATGGAGCTTCGCGGGCCATACTGCTAGACAGAAAGACCAACGTTGGAATACTAGAATACAACATTGGAGACCTTACGAAAGTAAACGACCAAGAGGAAGACCACAGATGAGATGGGATGAGAAGAAGAATAGTGCAAGTCTGAAATACGTGTGTGATCAATTCACACAACGGTTTAACAAACGTTGTCTAAGTACTGCTGTAATTTTGAAGGTTGTTGAAAAGTTTAGAAAGTAATGTATTGTGCCAACAAAAAGGAAACTCAGGGCGTCCCAAAACAGTTAACAACAACGGTAACCATGAACGTGGTTTTGAGCGAATCTTGGAAAATGCGAAAGCTAGCCAGACAAGCACAGCGTTGAATCTTGGCTTAAAACGAACTTCCTTACAAAGAATCTTAAAGGAGCTAGGTGCGTTTTTGTATGTGGTTAAGGTACATCAACAATTACATCCCAGGGATTGTCACAATAGAGTGGAATATTGTGCCAGAATTCTTGCATTTCAGTATGAAAATCCTGAATTTTTGAAAAATGTATGGTTTTCATACGAAGCACATTTTTATTTGTCAGGCCATATATATCGTCGCACAAATCAATTTCTAGGCTTTACCAGACTAGATGAAGTTCAAGAAGTTCCTTTACATAGCGCAAACGGAAGTGTCTAGTGTGCAGTTTCGTGACACGGAATTATTGGTCCATACTTTATCGAAGAAAATGGTGGGCAAGTCACACTTAATCAACAGAGTTACATACAAATTTTAAGATGCTTTATCCCTGATCCACGTCAATTTTTTCTTGTTCTTTTTTATACAGATATGACTCTGTCTGTTTTTCAATGTGCCTCCTGTCATTCCATCGTTTTCGTGATCTTCCCAATGATCGTCTTCCTATTTGTTGTCATTCGGCTTATATGATCATACCATTATACTCTTCTATTTCTTACCCAGTTTTTGATATTCTCCATCTTGCATCTATGTCGTATATCTGTACTTCTAGCTCTGTCCTATAGTGTCCTACCATCAATTTTTCAGTGTTTTCATCTCTGCCATTTCTAACATTCTTTTTGTTCTCTCTATGTTAGGTCTTGTTTCTTCTGCGTGTGTCATTATTAGTCTAATGACTGTTTTGTAAATTCTGCCTTTTGTTTCTTTCCCGATATTTTTACTTCTCCATATTGTTCCATTTAGGGAGCCTGCGGCTCTGTTTGCTCTATTCACTTGATCTTTCACGTCGGTTTAAAGCTTTCCGTAGCTAGACAATATAGTGCCTAGATATTTAAACTCTATCACTTAGTAAATTTGCTGTTGTACCCATGCATTTTGTTTTTGTTGGGGAAATTAATATGTTCAATTTTTCAATTTTGTCTTGCACGTAATTTGACATTTCGAGACCAATTTTTCCAGCAGGATGGGGCAACTTGCCATACTGCTGTCGCAGTTCGTCAATTTATTCAGGGACATTTTTCAAACAAATTTATTTCACGATTTACTGACCTCCCCTATCCTGCACATTCTCCAGAATTAATATCTCCAGACGCATACATTTGGGGCATGGCTAAAACTGCCGTTTTTAAATGGGCATCCCAAACCATCAATCAGTTAAAGAATGCCGTTGGTGCCTTATTCGAGGACTTGAGACAACATTTATTCCATACCATTACGAGAAATCTGGAATATCGGTATAAAGTATGTCCTGAGAGAGGAAGAGCTCATTCAGAACATGTTATAAAGTGTTAATAATATGTATTTTTAAAACAATAAAATAATTAAAAGTTAAGTACTGTTTATTTTAGGCTATACTGTATAATTTTAATGACTGTTTTAAATAGTTAATATATCAATGAATCTATTTAGTAGCAGTGATTGCTGCTGCAGTCGCTGAAAGTTCGTTATTATCTTTTTCGTAGGTTTTCAACATTTACTGACAAATATTCTTACTTAAATACAAACTCCTTCAATATTTCTCATTTGCATATATAAAAGAAGTCAGATCAGGAAAGTAAAATTAAAAAATTTTAACGTTTGTTCAATGAGAAATTATGTTTTCAAATATCAGTGAAATATGAAGCGTATGGCTGGATGATACAATAAAAAAAATATGGTTTTATTACACCATATATCTCACGCATCATTTGCCACAAAATATCAAGTCGTTCCTCTCCTAGAGCCTTCCAAACCTCCAAAAGTATTCCGTATAATGTCCTAATGTCTATCTATATTTAACCCCTTGACAACCGTATCTCTCGCTATCCTGACTATTACATTATTATTTGGGATCCTACATCTATCTCTCCCCTGGTGTTCTTCATTAACAGCGTTCTAAAGTACTCATACCATCTCTAATTTATTTCAAAATCGATTCTTAGCACTCTTTACTCACACTTTTAATCTGCCGCACGTAGGTCAACTCCTTGCCTGACTTGTCCCTTGCTTTAGCAATGTTGTATAACCTTATCATCCCCTCCAGTGTTTTCAACTCTTTATACAGCTGTGCAGACGATCTTTTCTTAATAGAGTGCATACCCACCTTAAATTCTTTTCTATACAGTATAGCGGAGTGCAAACCCCTTACCTTGCACTTTAACTCTAACAAAAGATGTAAGATATTAAACACAAAAACGTGAAGATCATAGTCTTGGATTCTTGCGAGTTATTCGTTCTCATCATGGGTTTCCTGAACGACTACTAGGTTATCTGAAAAATTCAAATGATAGATTCGAGAACTCTAGCGATTTAAGCCATAGAAGGGCAGTGTTCTTGGTTCAGTGTTTTCCAGATCTTAATATGTTTGCGATTGTGAATTGGACAAAAGATTGGGCTATGTCTTGCCCCCTTCGCCGTCATATTTAACCCTATGTTTTAAACGACTACCTAATGACTTCCTCTTTCTAACAGCGTGAAGGAAAACGTGGACTAATAAATATACATACTAAAAAATCCTTCAAGTATTTCAGAGATTTTTGTAAGATGCCGACAATTTATCAAACCACCTTATTATCAAAATATTTATGCACTTTTTTCTATTTATGCTAATTTTTTTATTTTTTTTTATTTTAGAACCAAATATTGGAGACAATTTTCTTCCTGCAATAAAAAGAACAATTGTAAATGAATTCGAATATACTTGGGATGAATGCGGCTTAAACTCTTATCCAACTTCAACAATAAATCAGTTTCTGGTGCTGACAAAGAGATCCTTTCTAATGCTCTCTAGAGATAGAACTTTGACATACTTCAGACTGGGAACTCATTCTGCAATAGCACTATTTTTAGGAACTTTGTACTTCGGCGTTGGACTGGATGCTGCTAATATAAATGACAATTTTAGTTTTATGTTTTTTACAGTTATGTTTCTTATGATGACAGCGTTTAACTGCGTAGTTACTACATGTAAGTCTTCAAACACATTTTATAATACTTATAAGGTGACACTATTTATATACACAACTTCTGGCTATTAAACAATGATACCCACCTAAAAAAAATTGATCTATTTTTTAAAGTAACGGGAAGTAAAAAATGCATTGTAAAAACCTGTAAGTGATTATTTGCCTAAATTAGCTAGTAGAAATATCCCCAAAGTTTTTTTGTAAGTAGAATATAAATATGCCGCTAAACATGTTTTAGAAATGAAAAAAATTAGAAGGGAACATCGACCTTACAGGTTGCTATTTTCAACAGGTTATTATTAATATTTTAAAAAGTAGTAGTAGAAATAGTCGCAATTAAAATTTGTAATAAAATTCAAGCTTTTAAAACATCTAGCAAAATACCTAACCAGATAGATCACATCCTGATAGATTCAAGGCACTCTTCCAATCTCATAGACGCCAGAAGCTACCGAGGCCTAAACATTGACAGTGACCACTTTCTTGTAATGGCAAAAATCAGAGGAAAAATATCAAACCTAAAGAAAGATAATCACACAAAACAAGACAGAATTAATGTTGATTACCTGCACATTGAAACCGTTGCAAGAGAGTATAGGAGATAAATGGACGAGGAAATGGAGAGCCTGGGGTAGAAGAAAATGTAGAGGAACTGTGGACAAAATACAAAAACATAATAACTGAGAAAGCAACAAAAATATTGGGGAAAACCAAACCAGTTAAAGAAAACGAATGGTTTGACAAGGAGTGCCAAGGAGCAACAGATAACACAAACAAGGCATACCTAAAGACAAATCAAGCTGGATGCACAAGAAGAGCAAAGGAAGAATACCGGACACTAAGAAGAGAAGAAAAACGATTATATAGAAGAAAAAAAAGACAATTTGAGCAAAAGCAGTTGGAAAGCACAGAATGGCTAAGAAATCAAAATGAAACTCGAAAGTTCTACAGAAATCTGAACAAAATGCGCAAAGTTTTTAAGCCAAGAATAAGGAGCTGCAAGGATGTAGAAGGAAACATCCTAAATGATACGGCCTTAATCCTAAACAGATGGGTTGAATTTTTCGATGCAAAATTTAATGGCCATCATATCGAAGAAGCAAATAACACCCTAGCAAATCGAAATGATTGGAATCCTTACAACCCAAACGAAAGACCACCTACCATCGAAAACGTTGCCCAAGCCATTAAAAAGCTTAAAAATAATAAATCACCAGAAATTGATCAAATTTTCAGTGAGCTCTACAAGAATGGTGGCGATGCCCTACTACAGACACTGCATAAGCTGTCTTGTTTGGCATAATGAGACCATGCCTTGTGAATGGTCTCAAGGCGTAATATGCCCGTTACATAAAAAAGGTGACCAGCTCCAGTGTGACAACTATAGAGGTATAACCCTGTTAACAACTGCTTACAAAATACTAGCAAATATTCTCTACGAAAGGCTGCAAGTTTACACAGTGGACATAGTTGGTAAATATAAAGCTAGATTCACCCCAGAAAAATCAACAATTGACCAGATTTATTCAATAAGATAGATTCTAGAGAAAACATTAGAATTCAATATTGAAACCCATCACCTATTTGTCGACTTCAAGGCCGCATACGACAGTGTCAAGAGAACAGTGCTATACCAATCAATGCATGAGTTTGGTATACCAGAGAAACTTATCCGACTAACGAGAATGACAATGTCTAACTTGGAAGCCACTATTAAAATACAGGGAGAGAATTCTAGATCCTTTGAGATAAACGATGGACTCAGACAAGGGGATGCTCTGGCTTGCCTCCTATTTAATATTGCCTTAGAGAAGGCAGTCCGAGATACACGAATTAGGGATGGCGGTACTATTTACAATAGATCGATAGAAGTCTTAGCATATGCTGATGACATTGACATAATAGGGCATAGCAAGCGAGATGTTAAGCAACATCTCCTAGAATTGAAAACAGCGGCGAAACAGGTCGATCTAGTCATCAACGAAGATAATACCAAGTACATGTTGGTTACAAAGGATCCTATAGCAAATGAGGAACGAGAAACAGTCCTTGGAAGTGATACCTTTGGACGTGTTGACAACTTCACATACCTTGGGTCGCTATTGACTGCTACCAATAAAACAAGCGAAGAAATCAAAAGACGAATAAATCTTACAAATAGGGCATACTATGGACTCCAAAAGCATTTCCACTCAAGAAATATTTAAAGAAGAACTAAAATTATTATATACAAAACATTGCTGAGGCCGGTCCTCACATATGGAGCAGAAACATGGACTCTAACGCAGAAAGATGAAAGTCTTTTGGGAATATTTGAGCGTAAAATACTCCGCAAAATATTTGGAGCTATCAACGACCAAGGGCAGTGGCGCAGAAAATATAATTTTGAATTGTATCAGCTCTTTGATGAGCCAGATGTCATAACGTTCATTAAAACACAGCGACTTAGATGGGCTGGACACATAATACGAATGCCAGAAAATACGATTGCTAAAAAGCTAACCACAGGAACACCTGTAGGAAGAAATAGCAAAGACCGACGCAAATTAGGTGGTTAGATGGAGTTGAAACCTACTTACGGATATTAAAAATCAGAAGATGGCAACATGTTGCCAGAAACCGAACAGAATGGCGACTAGAGCAGGCCAAGATCCACAGAGGATTGTCGAGCCAAAGATGATGATGAGTAGACACACACCACAGATTAATTAAAGCAGAAATATTACTAGATATTAAGAAGAAGGAAAATATACAACACGAAAAAATAAGTTTAACTGAGCTGAGAACTTACCTTAACTTACACGATAATTTCAACAAGCTTACAGGAAAAGAGTACTTATTAAATCACAGATGCTAACTGTAGTGGTGTTTATGTAGACAGCAATCAAATGAATATTGTTAGAAATAAGAAAAAAAAAGTATACGAAATTACTCCAAGAAGAAAGAGAAGAAGGAGAGAAGATAAGTAGATGGAAGTAGAGAAAAAAAAAACAAAGAGTAGAACTAAACAAAATAAAGAAGGGAATGAAAGATGCATTCAGTTAAAAATACAAGGAAATAACAAAATCAATGCATCGAGAGAGAAAATAGTAAAAATAAATTCAAATGCTAAAAGATGACTTAGATTACCTTAATACATAAATTATATTGGTATAAATATTTCAGACAAACATTCGATCTAAACTAGAAATGAGTCTAACGGAAATATGAATAATGATAAAGCAAACAAGCAAAAACTAGGAATAAAACTTAACTGAGCAGAGAAATATCTATATTTTTATAAAAGTAGTTTTAGTCATTGCTATTCTGCGTTTTATTTCTATGTCTGCATCTAGTTGGTGCGTTATCACAATTCCAAAATTGTTACTTCTCGAACTTCTTTAATATGGACTCCGTTTAATTAAAAGTCTATATCCGGGTTACGACTTGAGTTTATTTTAATTTCCATTTCCTCCTCTACTTCGTGAATATGATTAAGCATAATTTTATCCATATGGCTGTTCCTCAAGTGCCTTTTTTGGTTTGAGTAAACATTCAACAATGTTGTGGACAAATTGCAACCCATTTTGACTCCTCGTTGTATGGAGATTTCGTTGGACTTGATCTGGTCTGCGGGAATCACTTCAGTGTTTTTATATTACATTAAAAAGTTTTTTACTATTTTTATGTTATCTATATCTATTAGGTTCTTCAACTCAATTGGTGTATCAACTGGACCACAAGCTATTCTAATTTTAGCATTTTAAAACTGCTTTATACCTCTGATTTCATAATCTCTGGGCCGTCAGTATAATTTTGGTAAAATTTGGTAATATTACTGCTGTCATCCTTAACCAACTTCATACAGTTCTTACAGTTGCTATTCTTTTTTTTTCGTTTTTGTTTACAATAATTTTGTTTTTATTGTCACCTAGTACAAAGGGGACTCGTTTTTTAAATATGTTGTTTATTTCTTTGACTTTTTTGAACATAATAATTAAGTTTTAACCTTAGTTCATTATATACCACAAGGGGTTGGTGATCAGTTCAAATATCTGTTCTTGGAAATATAGTGACTTTTTTGACGGCATCTGGTGAGCGATAATTTAAAAGTATATAAAATATTTGATATCTTGAAGTTCCAGAGTTGCTACCATCACCAAATGAAACTTTCCAAATTTCAAGTAAATATTTATCGCTTGGGCAATTTATACCAGATGTTTGCAATAACCATGTCGTTATCTTTACAAAATTTATACAATCTCTGACCTAAATCTAGAGGATTTCTTGTGTTGTTACCGGAATAATAAAATACACTAGAGTCCATGTTAAACCATTTTTACGATTCACAGTACATCTATTTTCATTCTATTCACTTCTTAGATTGCTTTGTCAAGTTTTCCAACCACAAATAGACTTTTGGCATTCGATGTGCATATTCTCAAATGAGATTTTCTTGTTTTTAGGATTTCTTTACAAGGTTTTCGTATGTTTACAACCTGGAAGCGTTCGTGGTACAAATATGTTTCCCTCCTCCTACCAAATCTTGGCCAGCACTTTGCGTGATAAGTAGCGGTGAGTCTTTAATGTAGTGGTTCTCCTCTGCCTTCTGTATTCTTATACTGTTGACTATTTGTTGATTCATCCGCCTTCGGGGCCGATTTCCTACAGGAAAAAAGAGTGCTCTACCACGTACGCACTACCACGGATCCGCCCGAATCCGTTGGTCGGTAAGTGGGGATAGCTTATACCGGCAATCACTCGGACGTCAAAGCTTCGTTTATTATCTAGCAGAATGCACTGGATGTCCAGAATCAAGATCATCACACGGGCATATGAGGCTGATATTTGAATAGGAGAGGTTAAACATTTCGCATCACTATCCCTTATTCTTGCAACTCTTACAATTAGATAAATACAATATATTATATAATTTATACATAATTATTTAAAAATATAAATTAGGCATCAAGCAATAAAATAATTGTCTGGCTCAATTAGAACAGAAAAATATAGTAAATAAAATAGGGAACCAACAGCTAAGTAGGGTCATAAAATGAATGACATTAGCCTAGCCTAAAGGGTATAGGCAGCCATATAATATGAAATAAAAGAAAAGGAAGAATCAGTAAATATGATAAAATATGTAGAAATAATTTCAGTTCTTGCTGAAAATTTGTAAATCTTTTACACATTTCGTACAGCTCCAAAAGACAGAAAAAGGTAGTAGTTTTGGTTAAAGGCTTTTAAATAGGTGGCGCTTTTTGCAGCATTACACTAGAATAGTGGAAATAGCAGGACACATTCACTGACTTTCCATGTTTGAGATTGTATCTTTTTAACTGTCTGAAGACGTAGGGTTCACAAAAATAACACTATAACAGTCTATTGATATCAGTTCATTCATGAAAAGGATAGATTTTTATGGCGCCAAGTTTTCGATATCCTCTCTGATGTCTTCTTTAGGGCTTCCGAGGTCTCAGTTTTCGGAGCCCCCAGACATTACTACACTGATCAATATTCATTTCACTACTACCACTTTAAACAGAGGACGCTTCATTTATACCGTCACTATTGACGTGGCCAATGGCGCGAGCATAAGCGCGGGAGTTGGCGCGAACATTTTAGATAGTGGGATTTTGATTCCAGGATGAAGGGGACGATATTTTCTTTATGAAAGGTCTCCATGTAGAAGGTAATCGTATGCCGTAATCTCTTTTATTGAGATAATTTGGCCTTTTTTCACTTTTATAACTTCTCGGATAATTCTTGGTTTGTAAAAGCGGATCGAGGCTATGGTTTTGGAGTTTTATAAATCAATTTCGTAACCTGTATGAAGATGGTGTTAACCTTGAGCTAAAATTGAATCGGAATAACGAACAGAAATGGAATGTTCTTAAATCCTATTTTAGATTCCACGATTTGTTTGGCCTATATAGGATTGGGGGCAGTCTGCACAAGGAATTTCATAAAGTCCGCGTTGTTAATTTGAAATGTCGTTATTTCTTGTAATATTCCATGTAATATATCCACATTGACAAAAAATTACGAACAATTAACACTTAAGTAGACATTAAATTCAAAAACAGTATGTAAGTTTCAAGAACTTTAGCAGTCATCGAGAGTACTATTACAATTACGGATAAAAAAATAACAAAATTGCTATACAAAATGTTTAACTATAAAGTAATATACACTAAAGAATATTTAACACATTCAAGATACTGATTTTATGAATATTTTTATACTAATTTATAAATCTTTTTTTAGTTCCTTCAGAATTACCTATAATAATTAAGGAACACTTTAATAAATGGTATGCCATACGATCGTATTATGCGGCAGTATCTATTTCAGATATAACTATCCAAGTAAGTTACTTTAAGTTATTATAGGAGAGCACTAAATAAAATATATATTGAAAGCTTCATAGGTCTAGAACGCTCATAGCTTGATGAACAATATACTTCCATAGATTTGCCTCTTTTGTTTTGTTTTTAGTTGCCAACGTTTAACTTAAATATTTCTTCCTCTCTCTGCTATTAAAAAATGCCAAAATAGAAATGAATTCGCATATGCCATCACCGACCTTCGCTAGAAGAGAGCCCCTGAGAAGGAAGGATATCTACCAACATTTTATCTTATTATCTATTTCTTGACTTTCCCTTATCTTTTTTCTTTCAATTTTGCCCATTGTTAACTATCGTGTTATATGGTCTTTTATTATTTCAGTTTGTTTTTAATATTTTCTAAGCGTATTCGTACTTTGATATATAATAATTTATTTAGAAATCAAACTGTATTACCAAAGGTCACTATGGGCCTAATTACTGATTTTTTATTTATACTTGTACTTCTTTTTGGTCTTGCACCCTACATTTTCCTATGTATACTATCTATTTAGTGCTGATTTTTTTGCAATCTTTTCTTCTATATTTATGTATTTGTGCTTTAATTATTTTTTTGCTTTTTATTATAAAGACTATTTTACTTGACTATTTTGAACTGATAAATCCTGACAGCAACGACGTTTTCTATTGCCAAAACTCCTTCCTGTTCGTGATTTCTCAGTGACAAAATTACGACAAACACGTCACGAAAGTGTCTGGTAATATGCTGGTAATTCTATTGTTGTAACTTTGACAAACGTTATTGAGATGTAATTAATTTTGGACAGATATAATGAATCCAGACGAAAAATTAAGATTTGGATGCCAGTCAGGTGAAGAAATCAAAAAATTGATTACGGAAAATGTCCAATTGAACATGCAAAGGTCCAGAAGCTCTATTTGGACTCAATTTTCTGGGTAAAAAAATATACTAAATACCATAACCGAATTAGCAAAAATTCTCGAGGATTATGCCTTTAACATGAAAAAAGAAATTGGAGAAAACTATAAAGAGTCTTCTGGAAAGTCAATGTGGAATACTACAGCAAAAATGGCAAAAGAAAAATATTTTACGGATTACGGCATAAAAATTGACCCTTTTACAGATATATTTTACAAACATGCAAGGCTAGAGATATCAAGCGGAGGCAGCTGTGGAAAGAAGTGTGCAAGAAAAAAGAAAACAAGAGTACAAGAAAAGTTTTTTGAACTTTGCTTATTTAAGCTTGTCCTGAAATTTAATAAGGCCGTAAACTTCACTTTTCCCGAAAAGAATTTGATGTTATGGGAGAATGTAAAATTTTATGGGAGAGAAATACAACAGCATTTTTTCCAAAACAAATCAAGGCGGTTCGGAAAGTTTGGCAAGCAGCAAATAGCTGGTAAGAAATTCATCAAACTAAAATTTATGCCCAGTTAAAATAATTTTTAAAATTAATGAAAAAAAGGAAACCAAACATTTTATTAGACAGACTTTTTCTTATCATTCGCCCCAACTGGAATAATGAATCTTGGTTCAAAGACTGTCCACTTGGAATCAATACCGCATCTAAGAAGACAAAAAGGTCAACTAAAAGAATTGGAATAGACACGAAAAAACACAAACCATTTTCATCGATCTATAGCTGAATCAGAATCTGCAGCTTGATTCCAGTCACCACCAGAAGTTGGTCGAAAATCTCAGAACAACAAATAAAGCTGAACCTTTGAGTTGTTAAATCCTAAAGGTCAATTATATACAAAATCATGGTTTGCTGGAAGGGATGGGCAATCTACCATAACTTTTTTTACATTTCATATTGTTAAAAAATAAATAAAAATAATGTTTCGTTGATATGGTGCATTAATTGTCTCGTGAAATAGTCTTGTCGAATATCATTCGCAAAAATTGCCAGGCAACAAACTTTCATACCAAAATGTATTGCCGACAAAATTTTTTCTTATGATTTTATATAGGATAATTTTAAGTTAATCTCAAATTTTATTATTAATTATTTTTAGATTTTGGCTACCGTTTTGTATGCCACAATAACCTATGTATGTACACAACAACCTATGGAATGGAGTAGAATATCTTCGTTTTTGTTTATCTGCATTTTGGTCTCGGTTATTTCCCAAAGTTGGGCGTTGGTAGTGGGCTCCTGTTTAAGTGTAACGGTAAGAATTCCAAAATATTTATTTTAAAATTTAATTATAAGTGCGAATTTAATTATAATGGTAAGGTTAAGTTAGGTTAGGTATGAGCATGATATGGGCATAGACATAAATACACTGATACTGATAAAAATACTGATTGCTGCAATACCCTCGTGTTCCCCCAGTGCGACATCTCTTTCTAATGAGTCAGGTTTATCGACCACGTACCTTCTCATTGCTCCTGTAGTGATCCTTTCCCAAATGATCAAGTTCCTTTTCTAACACTTAGGTGCACCGTACTAAAGACCATATAGGCTTTTTGGTACATAAGAGAATTAAAAACTTGGTAACTAAATTCCAAGCGATTTCTAATAGAGTTATCTATCTGGTAATAAAACTAAATCGTAGATACAGCATTCAATAATCCACTGTTATGCACCAATTTCTTCAGCAGATGATGGAAAGGTAGAACTTTATGAAGACATTACAAGAGCCAGAAACTTAGAGAAAATATATTACGTAATAAATACAATTTAGATTTCAATGCTAAAAAAAAAAGATCGACAGTAACAACGACAACGAATATATTGGAAATTTTGGACTGAAAAGTAGATATCACAGGGGAGATTTGCTCGCAAATTTCCTTAACAAAGAAAAACTAATCTGCTTAAATACAGAGTGGCCCAAAAGTTTGGAACGGCCAATTATCTCGTAAATTGCTAGTTATAATTGTACAAAATTTGAGGTACACCTATTTTGGGATATGGAGATTCCATATTTGATATTTGCAATGTTGCCAGATTTGCCGTTTCTCTAATATTATTAGTAACTTTGGTTTTTCAAATGCATCACCCTGTATATTCAGTCATTATTAGAATCTTCTATTCAATACAATTTCAACTATATGTAACACTTACGATTTTTTATAGTCTGGAAGGTCTTAAATACATAAAACAGGAGTCTGCCAACGCCTAATTGTTTCAATAAATTTTTTGATACTAATTATTTTCAACTACATTAAAACGTAACAATTGATAGATTAGACCATTTTATAACAATAGTTACGTTATTAAGTGTTTAAAATGTGCTCAATTTGTGAGTTGACAGTACCCTAATCGATGGTAGAATGCGTCTACCACATTTCTCCATGATTGTCTAGAAATTATTTGAGATTAATCGATAATTCGTTGCCTTTGCTTTGCAAGACTTGGCTGGTTAAGTTTTGTAAACTGAATTTTTCAAGTATCCCTAATAAAAATAATCTTTAGGATTGAAATCGGGTGAACGTGGAGGCCATTCAATTCTACCTTGTCTACCAATTTATCGTACGGAAAATATCTCATCTAAATAACACCGAACATTGACACCAACTATCTGACGTTAAATTTCCTTCGATAAAAAATGACGCAATTGACTAAGTACCTACTATACCTGATCATACATTTAATTTTTGTGGTCTGGTATGGTTTTCACGCATTCAGTGTGAATTTCATATGAGTTCAACTATTCAATGCAAGTTCACAAATATGTAACACTTATGATTGTATGTAGTCTGGAAGGTCTTAAATACATAAAACAGTGCAAAATATGTAGATTTTAATAAATTTAAATATTTAAAAGTAGAATGCTGTGATATTGACATTTGTTCACGATTTACATTATAAACTAAAACTGACAGTAGTTGTGCTTCTCTAAAATGCCGTTCTCTAAACCGTTCTCCTATTCATAAGGCGATGGTACAAAAAACTGTAAAGCGATTTGAGAAATCTGAAGAAGGTAAAGATAGGTAGAAAGAGAAAAGTTGTGTTGAAGATTCACATACATCCTCAGGCAGGGTTGCACAAGTACATGATGTAGGTCGTTCTTCAGTCTTACGTATATTACGTAAAAATAAGTTTAAACCATACAAAATAAACTTATTGCAAGAATTAAGTGAAGATGACTTCGATCTTAGCTTAGAGTTTACTGAGGTAGTGATGGATAAAATGGAAAATTATTAAAATTTCGTTAACAGAATATGTTTTCCGATGAAGCAATCTTTACACTGTGTGGAAGTGTAAATCGACACAATTTAAGGTACTGGAGTGACGCAAATTTACACTGTATGCGTTAAAACCATACTCAAAGACCACAAAAATTAAATGTATCGTCAGGTATAGTAGGTACTCAGTCAATTGGGCCATTTTTTATTAAAAGAAATTTAACGTCAGATAGTTGGTGTAAATGTTCGGCGTTATTTAGATGAGATATTTCCCGGACGATAAATTGGTAGACAAGGTAGAATTTAATGGCCTTCACGTTCACCCGATTTCAATCATAAAGATTATTTTTATTATTATACTTAAAAAATTTAGTTTACAAAATTTAACCAGCAAGTATTGCAGAGCTAAGGCAACGAATTATCGATGAATCTCGAATTGTTTCTAGACCATCATGGAGAAATGTGATAGACGCATTCTACCGTCGATTAGGGTACTGTCAACTCATAAATTGAGAACATTTTAAACACTTAATTACGTAGCTATTGTTAAAAAAATGTTCTAATTTATTAATTTTTACGTTTTAATATAGTTGAAAATAATTATTATTAAAAAATTTATTGAAACAATTAGGCGTTGCCAGACTTGTGATTTATGTATTTAAAACCTTTCAGACTAAATAAAATCATAAGTATTGCATATGGTTGAACTCATATTAAATAGCAGATTCCAATAATGACTAAATATACAGGGTGATGTATTTAAAAAACCAAAGTTACTAATTATATAAGAGAAACGGAAAATCTGGCAACATTGCAAATATCAAATATAGAATCTCCGTATCCCAAAATAGGTGTACCTTAAATTTTGTACAATAATAACTAACAGTTTATGAGATAATTGGCCGTTTCCAGACTTTTGGGCCACTCTGTATATTCTACAAGAAAAAGGTGCAAAGAAAATGGACGTGGCACAGTCCACACGGCAAAGTAAAAAATAAAACTGACTTTATACTCTCTAACTTCAAAAACATTGCAAAATATGTTACTGTCTTAAATTGTGTCAACACTGGTAGTGACCATCGATTAGTTAGGGTACGAATAGAAGTAAATACGAAATTCGATAGAAAAAACAAATTACATTTATAGGATAAAAGGGAGGAATCAGACTGCTCGACCTGACCGACCGTCCACGATCGACCAACACTACGAGTCTATGAAAATGTATGCGCAGAGTCAGACTGGTGGACCGGCCATCACTTACAGCAACCGACCGCGATCGTTATTATTATTATTATCCCGGTTTTTATAGCGTTCTCCGCCTTCCGGTTCCCAGTTTCCAGCTACGTCGGTCATTCCATCCGCCAGGGTGAAGGTTTCTTTCCGACATTGCGTTCTGAATGCCGCCCAGCCAGGATTGTTTTGGCCTTCCTCTCTTCCTTCTTTCCCCTGGCGTCCATTTTAAAATTTGGTTTGGCAGCCTGTCGTCGTCCATTCTATTCACATGACCATACCAGATCAGTTGTCTCCTTTGAATTTCGTCAATGATGGTTAACTTGACTCCCATTATATTTCTGATATGGTCATTTTGTATTCTATCAAGCCTTGATTTTCTAGCTGATCTTCTCCAGAAGTCCATTTCCAATGCAAGTAGGCGTCGCTCAACGGATTAAGTAAGTTTCGATGTTTTGCATCCATAGAGCACTATACTTTTAAAAATGGAGTTAAAGAGGAGATGCTTTCTTTGATTTGATAGTTCTTTTGACCATAGCATCGGGTTTAGGCATCCTATCACCCTTTTTTCTTTCACGATTCTTTGCTTTATCTCTTTTTCGGTGCGCCCACTCTTGTTGATTGTTGTTCGCAAATATATATATTCCTCACAGTCCTTGATTGTTTCATGTTCCTTGACCATTATATCTTCTACTTCATTCCCGATGCATAAGTATTGCCTTTTGTTTCTATTTACAGAAAGGCCCCATTCTTCATATGTTTTAAACAACCGTTTCGTCATGAATTCTAAATCTTCCTTGTCTGCTGCCACTACTACTTGGTCGTTCGCAAAATGTAGAGTGTATAATGTTGTATCGTCGTCAAGTTAGATCCCCAATGCTGAACAGGATTTTCTCCAGTGTTTTAGTGCTTCATTTAAATAGATCTTAAATAGTATTGGAGAGAGGCAGCATCCTTGTCGTAAGCCTTTTGTTACTGGAAATTCTTCTGATAAGTTGTTGTTTAGTTTAATTTTTGATGATGCTTTATTGTTCAAGAGACTGCCACAGCTTTCTCGCAGGAATCGTTACATATGCTTTTGTGAGATCCACAAATAAAAGATGTATTTCCTGGTTTCTTGCAACTTTCTTTTCATTCAGTTGTGTTAAGGTAAATATGTGGTCTACGCAAGATCTTACAGCTCTAAATCCTGCTTGCTGTTCAATTTCATGAGGTTCGTATTCTTTCTTAATCATGTTTTTTAAGATTTTACCAAAGAGCCTGCTAAAGTTACTGCTGATAGAGATATATCTGTAGTTTCCACATATATCTTTTGGACCTTTTTTGTGAATTGGAGTAATCCATGCTTCATTACAACTATTCGGGATTTCTTCCCCATTTAAGTATCTTGAGAATAGCACTTTAAGATAGCTTATTAGTTTTGGTATTCCGTTTTTTTAGAAGTTCTGCTGGTATGTTCTCCGGCCCGGATGCTTTGTTATTCTTCATCGATTTAAGCGCTTGTTGTATTTGTTCTTCTTCCACGTTTACATATTCACCTTGTACTCGTATTCGTTGAGGTGAGTCAGTATTATAAATATCTCTGTCTTCATTCAGTTCCATTGCGTAATGATCTTTCCATGTATCTATGTGGATGGGCTGTATTCAACTTTTATTTGATGTGTCGATTTTCAGGGTTTTTATTAATTTCCATGCCGCTGATGATCGCGCTCCACGATGTAACAGTCAACTTCATTACATTTTTCATCCCATGTTCCATTTTTGTGGAGGACCGGGTAATTTTTAATCCAGGCTTTCTTCCTCTAGACTA